TGGCCTGGGTTGGGCTTTGCGGGCTTCTATAGTGTGTATCTATGTCTAGGGTTTAGGGTGGGGCCCTTTTCAAACCTTCTTCTTAGCATTTGCTGGATTGCTTCAGAGCTGTTCCCTTTTGTTGCGTAGGGCTTCAGAAGCTGGTTCTCTTGTAAACGCCTCTTAATTGCCAAATCAAAGCAAGGACTATACCCTAAACCATAAACCCCAAACCTGAATCCTAAACCCTAAACCGTCAGAAAGGGCCAGACATCTGCATGACTCCCCATGCTTGACGGTAGACGGTAGCCCCAGGTTACTGCGGATTTGCGACCGGAATTGCTAAAAAAACTCCCAAGTCCTATGATTAATGAATTTACTTTAACTCATCTTTCGACTCGGCCCCTACTATAAGTTAAGTGATATTGCTTGTTTAGGGGGTGTTGGAGTCTTTGGGCTCGGGTCTTTCCAGCAACCACGACTTTTGCGTTGATCTGACTTTTTATGTGCAACATCGCGATCGAATTCGACAGCTGAAACAGAACCCTCCAGCACAGAAGCCCCGAGAATGAAAGCCATACATCCTAACAGCGCTAAAGCCGCAAAGCTCCAGCCTCAACCAGACCCATATGCCCCATGCGTTCTGAGCAGGACACAAAACTGGGACAAGTCTGCACTTGAACCCTCTTGCTGCGCTCCCGTGGCCTCCCAAACGCTAGCCCTTTCATCGGGCTAGTGTGATATAGACCTAAACCCTAAACCCTGTAGACCCACAAAAAGACTGCAGCTCACTTTACCTGCTCAGCGAAAAGCCCTAAACTCCAAAGCACCGGAGCCCTCGAGCTCTCCAGGTGTCATACTTACTACTTGGAGGATCATGGGACTTAGTAAATAAGGTTATAAGTCCATTAATTAGGGTTATAAGTATAGTTACCTTAGTTATAACCCTACTTACTAAGTTCCATGATCCTTTAAGTAGGTCTATCAATTTATAGAGCTCTTTTTTTGGGGGTTTAAGGCCTACTCTGGGAAAACAAATTTGAGCCAGTTGGGACTCTAAACCCGAAACCCGCACGGCACTGAACCCTAAACTTCCTGAAACCCCAAAATCCTAGACCCTAAACCCCTACCGAAACATCCAGAATCCTAAACCCTAAACCCCTAGAGCTAAACCCTAAGCATCCCGAACCCTAAAAAAAACCGGAGGAGACGGCCGGTACCGGCCTCCGCCTGTTGGAGAACCTTCAACAATGCCTGCAGAGTTCACAGGGCTCCTTACATGGAGGGTTTAGGGTTTGGGGTTTGGGGTTTAGGGTTTAGGGTTTAGGGGAGGATCATGGGACTTAGTACTTAAAATGGGTTCCTAAAAGGGATCCTTGAAGGGATCCTTAAATTAAAGGGTTCTAGAAAGAGGATCTCTTACAAGTGCCCTAAGTGTGGCAATAAGTAGCTGTAAGTACAGCGACCCTGACAACATGCACGTTAAAAAGTCCCATGATCCTTCATGTGGGTGGTTGTCAAAATTATGGTCCCTTTTGGGGTCCTTATTATAATACGGCACCTATTATTTAGGGTACCCCAAAAGGGACCATAATTTTGACAACTACTCCAGGATATCGGTTGGGTGCGCAGTATAGAAGCTTCTAGATGACTTTGGCCTCGACTTTCGTGCATACCGAGCTTTCTTGATTGCCGGCATTGGTGGCACAAAGGTTTAGGGTTTAGGGTTTAGGGTTTAGGGTTTGGGGTTTAGGGTTTAGGGTATCCTGGTCGGCAGGCATCGTAAACCCACCCAGACCCCCGAGAAAGGATCTTCACTTTACCTACACTCCCTCCGAACAGTCGTAGAGGTGGAGAAACTCGTGCAAAATGTGGCCTTGAGCACACATACGGCTCTTATCCTTGACGCTTCGAGCGCAACTTTTTTCAAGTCGGCGAGCCCGACAAACCGATCCCCTGAACCTAATGTAGGGGACTTAATTATCAGAATAGCGTTCTGCGGGTTCATTATAGCATATTCATAAGCAGGAGCCCTAAGAAATAATATTAGTAGGTAATCCCTAGGCCCTAAACCCTAAACCCCTAAACCCTAAGCCCCTTTGCCCTTTGCACAATGGTTTATATAAGGGCTTGACCCCAGAGCCCTCGAAGTCCAAGCACTCTGAACAACTACTGCTTCACATACAAACTTGAGAAGAGATGGTTTAGGGTTTAGGTTTCAGGGTTCTTAGGGCACCTAAACGCACAAGCCCTCAACATTAGCCTAACAACCTGGAGCCATAAACCCCCAGTGAACACCCTAAGCCCTAAACCATACCATCCTCCAAAACTCAATCCCAAACCCGATACAACCTAACACCCTATAATCCCAAACCCTGAAACCGTAGCCACTAAACCCATGAAACCTACCCAGTATAGTTCATAGGTAAGGCTACACATCCAGCAGCCCGGTCCAGGGACTGACTACCCCAAAAAACACCCTACTTACTAAGTCCCCTGAGCCTCCAAGTGATATAGGGCCTTAGTGATTAGAGTAGGCGTCGGTAAATTTATTGTATACTTACATGAAGGAACATTAGAAATAGTATTCATAATCATTCAGGCTTCTATATTGTTTACCCTGGTAACGGCCCCATTCCTCACGCATCGCAATAGCCCCAATGGCCCTTGCTGATTATTGCTGTAACTTGTAAAATATGCCCAAGACCCTGCCGCTGCATGATAAGCCAATGGGATCCTTTTCTGACACTCGGCAGACAAAAACCGAAACGAATCCGGAAAAGAGCCCCACAACCCCATTCCCGTAAGGCCTGCAAGTGTTTTGCTGGATTGTTGGTGTTGGAATATTGGCCGAGATCGAACATCCACCACAGAGTCGACACCTGCATCGTGGGCTCAAGGTCTGTTAAGGGTTCCTTACTTACGGGTTCCTTCACTGGTTCCGCAGACCTGAACCCTAAACCCTAAACCCTATTGAATATGCTCTGAAAGATTGCATATAAGGGATTTGAGGGTGTGGACTGCAAACGTGCTCCATGATGCGATTTAGACAATATAACAGGTCTAGGGTTTAGGACATCAAAAGGTGATTTCTTCAGACCCCTAAGCCTTGAACCCAAAACCCCTAAACCCTAAACACTTCATGTCGACAAGGTATCGGACCAGCAAGGGTCTATAATGTGTAGGTACATATCCCCACACTACGGTTGATGATATAGATCCTGCATTACCCATAATAAGGAAGATACCATAATTCCCATAGTTTAGGGTCCCTAAGGTAATGCAGGTTTTGTACCATCAACACTAGTACCCTAAACCCTAAACCCGAAACCCTAAACCCGAAACCCTAAACCCTAAACCCTAAGCCCTGAACCGTATGTCGGCCACATGTAAAGCTTCGGCATTGGGACTTACTCAACCCTCACTCCTTCAGCAACCCCAACCTCAGAATCCCCGATTACGCCCTAAAAAGAGTTCAGGGTTTAGGTTTAAGGGTTTAGGGTTTAGGGTTTAGGGTCTAGACCAAGTCCTCGACCTAGGATTTACGGTCCAGGGTTCGGGGCTTCGGGTTTAGAGTTTAGGGTGCCGTTTACCCAATACCTGCACTCCGCCGCTTGTTTTGCTTGCAAGGAAGGAGATCTGGCCGCTTGCCTCCGAAAGTACAGCTGTTCGGCATGCCAGGCGCTCCCTAAACTCTCAACCCTAAACCCTGTACCCTAAACCCTGAACCCTAAACCCTAAACCCTAAAAAGAAAGCGTCTTGGCTCAGGATGCCGCGTTGGGTCGCTATTGAGACTATCAGAAGTGTAGCCGCACAGACTGAAACTGCATTGCCACAACGCAGATTTTGGTAGTTCTCAAAAATGGGGTCCCTTTTTAGGTCCCCAATGTAGTACGGCACCCTCATAACAAGGACCCTAAACATGGACCCTAATTTAGAAAACTACCCAGATTCAAGCAAGTTACACAGAATATGTCTACGCAGTGTCGCATGCGCGTCGTGTTTTTGAACAGTGGCCTTAAACCCTAAACTTGCCTCCCGGCATCCGAACATCTGCTAAGCCTCAGGACAGTTTCAGGTGCTTCTGGAGCAGCCTCCAGAAGTCAGAAGCCTCACAGAGGGTTTAGGACAGAGGGTTTAGGGTTTAGGGTTTAGGGTTTAGGGTTTAGGGGCAGCCTCCAGAAGTCAGAAGCCTCACAGAGGATTCGCTTTGGGAAAGAGCTCAAATCTGAACAGCCCCAGACCCCAGAAGCCCTAATTAGGTTTAGGGTTTCGGGTTTAGGGTTTAGGGTTTGGGGTTTAAGGTTTAGGGCTTAGGGTTTTGGATCCCGAAACCCGAAACTGTCCCTGCAGAAGTCTGTATGGCTGGCAATGTCAAGGCACTGCCAGGTGCCCATGCGGGATGTTGGAAGTGACCCGCAGCACATATATGATTCGGTTCTGGGCTCCGCGCTTATGGGGATTAACCCCAAAAACCTAAACCCTGAAACCCTAAACCCTAAACCCTAAAACCCTAAAACCCTAAACCCGACAGGGTTCAGCGGTGAGTCTCAAAAAGTAGCAGGCCCTGAACTACACGTCGGACACTAAGGTCCGTATTGAAGACTCTGATATAGGGGCCTAAATAATTACCTGTACTATTTACGGTTCAGGGTTTAGGGTCTATTTTCGGTTCCGTATTAAAGTTATAGTATACTGTACCCCAAAAGAATATTCTATTGTTAAGGCCCCTATAAACCCTAAA